CTACCAGCGGTTCCGCGGGAGAAAGATGAGGCTTTCTGCTCCCCTAAGGATTTACAGCCTCGGAAACCCTGTACAGGGTCGCTGTGAGTCGGAACCGACTCCATGGCACATAACCACCACCACTAACCAATGAAAAACTCACTATGAAGAGAGTGGGTTGGCCGCTAAGCTGCCCCATGTAGGCTAGAGCCTCTTTCAGGGCTGAAATTCTTACTCCCCAGCTGCGGGAAGTGCTGTCTGCTGACTGCTCTCTTTAGGAAATGCTGTTGTTGAGCAGATTCCAACTCATAGTGATTCCATGGGACAGAGTAGAATTACTTCATAAGGTTTTGTTGTTGATAATTGCCGTCAAGTCGGTTCCAAGGTTCCTGGATAGAATTTCCAAGGATTTGAACTCCAATCCTGTGGTTAGTAGTCCAGTACTTAGCCTAGAGTACCACACCAGGAGTCTATATAGGGTTTAATAGGCTGTAATTGCCTGAGATATAGACACATAGATCAATGGAAACTCAGAAACAGATGCACACAACTATGTCAGCTGATTTTTTTCTTTTAAAAGAGGTGTCAATGTAGCTTGGGGTCCTGGTATGGTGCTGTGGGTTAATGGTTTAGACTGGAATGTCAATTTGGACTGCAAGGTCTGCAGTTAAAGCTCACCAACCGCTTCTCAGAAACTCTATACAGGGTCACTATGAGTCGGAACCGACTCAACAGCACTTAACAACAACAACAACAAAATGTAGTTTAAGGATCCCTAGTGGTACAGTGGGGTAAGTACTGGGCTGCTAACCACAAGGACAGTGGTAAAACCCTTCCAGGAACTCTAGGGGAGAAAGATGAGGCTGGTCTGCTCCTTTAAAGATTTACAATCCTGAAAACTCTCTGAGGCAACTCTCCTTTGGCCTAAAGTGTTGCTATGAGTCAGAATGCACTGGAAGGCAGTGGGTGGGAAATGTAACTCAATGAAGTACAGTTAGTTTTTCAACAAATGATACTGTAACAATATTGATATACATAGGCCAAAACAACAAAAAAGACACTTCAATGTAAACCTTACACTTTGTATAAAAACTGACTCAAAATGGACCATAGATTTAAATGTAAAGCATAAAACTATAGAAAAACATTTTATAGAAAAACATCTTCACCTAACAGTTCTTGGCTATGATACCAGAAGCACTATCTATAAAAGAAAAACATCAATATATTGTTGTTGTTCAGTGCAATTGAGTTGGTTCTGATTCAAAGTGACCCTGTATAGGGTATCTGAGAAGTGGCTGGTGGGTTTGAATTGTTGACCTTGTGGTTAGCAATCTAGTGCTTATCCTATAGCACCACACCAGGATTCCCTCAATATATTGTTGTTGTTAAGTGATGCTGAGTCAAATCCAAATTATAATGACCCTGTATAGGGTCTCAAGGAGTGGCTGGCAAGTTTGAAAAGTTAAACTTGCAGTTCAAACTGACCTTGTGGCCTTGTTCTTTATCCTACAGTGGCACATCAGGAAGCCTTAGGGAAATGCAAATTAACTACATGCTGAACTATCACTTCACACCTATTGATGGTGGTTCTGTGCTGTGGAGTCAGTTCCAACTCATAATGACGGAGGCTGTACATCTTTATGAGAGCAGCTAAAACCAAAAATTATCAGTACAAAATACTGAGGATGCAGAGAAATGGATGAGACTATAAAATGGTACAGTTACTCTAGAAAAGAGTTGGGCAGTTTCTTAAAAAAATTGAAATATACACTGTACAAGCCACCAGTTACACTCTTGAGAGCATTTATCCCAGAAAACGAGAAATAGCCCCAAACTGGAAGCAATCAAAATGTCCTTTTGATTAGCTAAACCAACTGTGGTACATCCAGACCATGACATACTCAGCAATAAAAAGGAACAAACTACTTGTACACACAACAACTTGCATAGATCTCGAGAGCATTTTGCTGAGTTCAAAATACTAATCTCAAAATGTTCTTGCGAGAGGAGCTGAGCCTGAATTATCCAAGTGGGCCCTAAATGCTCCCGCATGTATCTTTATGAGACACATACACGTAGGAGAAAATGTTCACAGAAGAGACAGTGATGTGAAGACATTGGAAGAGATGAAAGAGATGTGCCCCAGGATTTCAGGGTGTCAGAAACTGGAAGAGGCAGGGAACTGATCCCTTCCCACAGACACAGAAACTGGTTTTCTAGCCTTCGGAATTGAGAGGGAACATATTATTTATTGCTGCTTAAGCTACCAAGTTTGTAGTAATTTGTTATGGCAATCTGAGGAAACTAATACAACAGCAATTTTTCATTCAGGTTGCTGGTTGAATATCAGGGCCTTAAAATATGTTTCGTAACTCCTTTCACCTCCATTCATTTGATTGCCATTTTGCAATGGCACTTTAGTGAAACCATTGGTTGAGAGCATGCGTTTAAGTGTAGTTGAAATAAATATTCTCCTGACATTTAGTCCTCTGTTATAAGTTAGAATTGACTTGATGACAGTGGATAATTTTTAAATTGGGAAAAATGTGGACGTATTCTGTGATAGTACAAAATTATTATTGATCCTTTTTATAAATCAGGATAATAAACTGTAAAACCACCAAACCAGCCACAAGGATGGAAAATGTCTAGGGTTGAGGGTTTGGGTGATAGCATGCAGTGTGAACAGCCACACCTTGCTTTTGAACACCTAAATGGATTACTCAGAGCAGGGCCTTGTCATCCTCAGTTTTCACAAATATTCATGTAATCAGTTGGAGAAACTATAGCTGGAGGCCCCTTGGCTCACTGCAGAGCTGGGGTTGTGGGCTGTGGTCCATTCCTCAGGCCCTGCCTTAGCCGCCTCAATCTCGTCACCTAGCTTCTCTATACCCTTCAGTTTTGTGGTAGCAAAGCCAATGCTAACTGTTTGTTTTCAGTCTTGGTATTTAAACTGTTTGCCAATCTGATGCGTTAGAGGTTTTACTAAAAAAAAATATGAGGGCACTAGTTTTTTCTACTGTGAATTAATGGCTTTAGAATGGGATTAAAAAAGAGGAGGGGGGAGCAAGCTTTAGCCCATGAAAGTACAGGAGAATATAGGTTTAGAACACAAAAAAATTAGACCTGATTTCTTAAATCAGCTATTAACAATATAGGTTTAAACAAAATTAATAAGCAGTCATTTTTAAAACTCCAAATTGTATTAATTTTCAAGGTAAAATAGTCATTAACAAGGATGAATGGTCTTATTACAGCTTCCCATGCCAACCCTGTAAACATGAGATCACTTCTGCGTAAAGATTTCAAGACATATTGTTGAGTATTCATATCCATTTTTGTAGAGATCTATGAATTTTAAAGCTTTTTCTTATATTTGTAAATCAAATGCATATATTGATCTAAATCCTGTTGCTTTTGTTTTTGTTTTCCACTTAATCATTTTATGAGAGTCCTTAACGTGTGTATCACGATCTGAACATTTGGTGTTGTTGAAAAGTTAGGATCTTTAAAAATATTCCCTCATTCCAAGTACCAAGTGATCATTACCAATTTATATTTGGTGAAGTGCTAGATTTAAAATGTAACATCTCTGTGCTCTTTGTAGTTCTCTGATTATGAGCTGAGTGGAGCAAGCGTTCACATGACTGTGGAAAGACCAGCTCTCTTTCTCTGCCATGAAAAGCCCATCCTCATCCTTCACCATCATTCCAAGCCCTGACTTTTTCACAATGATTCCCAGAATGGCTTCATAGGTGCTTTATATGAGCGCATAGTTATAAATTTGCAAACACCTTCTTGTTTATTTTCAATGTTTGTTTAACTCATATTTGTTGACTAGACAAAGCCTGGAGGAAGACAAGGTAAGGAATCCTCAAGTAGTATAGGAATTCTTAATCATCTTTGGAGAGAAAAGGATGCTATATAGCTGATAGGTAGATAGATAGATAAGCACCAATGTTTGAGGAAAAGGACATTACATTATCCCTGAAGAGTACCATGTGACTCTGTTAATGGAGCAGATAGCATTGTAGAACAAAATGATAGTTCTAAGAACCACTACTGTGTGTCAGGCTGGAGCAGGCAGTTTAAGGGAGAGGTCTCACAGAGGGACCCCCGAGAAAAAAATAACAAAATAAGTTGTCAAGTTCTTGGGAGGTTGATAACTGTAGAAAAGTGTTGGGTCCCAAGGGTAAGGAATAGACTGTCAGAGCTAAGTAACTGAGGCCCATGCCCTGAGACCTGTCTAGAGAAGACTGATTGGTTTGTACTTTCCCCTTGCCCTGGAAAGTTACCCACACAAAAATGGAAACCCAGGGGCTTTATGGGTTCTGAGAGGCCCTGATGACCAGACCTGATATCCCAAAGCTGACATATCAACATGACATTTGTTGATTTCCCATTCCAGTAATCTGGAACTAAAAGGATGTTATATAGACACGAAAATCTGATGAAGGCGAGTTGTGGTAATGAAATTTCCTAGAGTCTTGACAAGTTAGTTCATCAGTAATAGGAACTGCCTGAGTCCTGCACTTCCCATCACAGCGCAAAAAATGCCTTGTGGAATGAGTTTGAACAACGCTAACACGCTAACTGTTGTTCCTGGTGTGATGCTGTAGGATAAGCACAGGACTGCAAGATCTCTTTGAACTTCAAGGTCTGCTGTTCCTCATAAACCTTATACAGGGTCTCTATGAGGTCTCTGTTCCCATCAGCTGCTCCTCATAAACCTTATACAGGGTCTCTATGAGTTGGAATTGATTCCATAGCACTTAACAACAAAGAAAACACCAACAAGCCAAGAAAGCTTAGAAATGCCCTCAGCTGTATGGATCTGGCCTCAGGGAAAGAGGGTGAAGAGGAGGTAGGTGTACAAGTTTACGCACCTGCCATCCGTCTCTACAGGGCCTTATGGGCTGCGGTTGGAGATCCGACCAAGTGCAGTAGATTTTGGCCAAGCCTTTAAATTCAAAGCAATCACTACTGGAGAAAGACTAATTGGGTCAAAGTTCGGTAAGATGGAGCTACAATTGCCTGACTTGGTGATATTGCGAATCTTCTCTTTCCTGGATGTACTGAACTTGCTGCAGGCTGCTCAAGTGAACAGGGTAAAGGTTCTCCAACCTCCGCTTCTCTAGCTGGATTGACCGGCTCCCACTGACACCCTGCTACCTTGTCAGTCCTTGTACACCATTTTGCCTTCTCTCAGCCCTAGGAAATTGTTACCTCAGAATTAACCCATGTAACCTTCTGTTATTCCTTCAGTTTGCCTTAAAGGAATTGATACTCTAGTGCTCCAGGGACTCAACCCCTTCTCTTGATCAATTTGAGCACCAGTTTATAGACTAGCAGAATACCTTTTGCAGTTAGGGTCATTTACTCAAAAGTTCTCATGTTTTGTAAATTAAAATGACAAACATAAGGAGCTGCTATGCTAACTAAATGATCTTTGGGGTTCTTATTTTCAGCCCTAGGAAAATAACATTTTTCCTATGAACTCTCACAGGAATCCCAAGGGTCAGGATTTGCAGGTTTAGGTTTCTGCTATTACCATTACCGCCCCCTTAACAATGGGGCTCTGGGAGCTGGGATTGAGTCTGATTAAACTTGATGGGCACGGCTCCCAGAACAAACAATAAAAGAGCCAATGACTGATGGCTTATCTCTTCCTTTCTCTCTCTTAGCAGTGGAATAGGCTTTCAGAGAACAACTACCTCTGGAGGTGAGTAAAGGAAGGGGCAGAGGAAGGGGAGAGGAGACGTGTGATTGTTCACTTGCAGGTGTGCTTAGCCCTGTGTGTGACAGTTATGGGGGCATGTATGAAGGTTCCAGTTAGTAAAAGGTTCATGTGGTAGAACAGTGGCCCAAGTAGCAGGAGCTAACCTGCACAGCCTGATGGGATTGTGGCTTTGTTTCTAGAATGTTGTGTCTGAAGAGATGGACCTTCTGCGCCTTCTCTGATGAGCAGCTGGGCACAAGGACCTGGAAACAGTTCTTCTACAGACAAGTGAGGCAGGAGCCCCTTATGGCACTGGCAAAACCAGGGGACTTCACCTACAAAGAAGTAGCCGGGAACATTGGTATGGAAACAGGGTGTCCTAGAGGAACATGATGAATTTCTTTACGGGATTATTTTATTCCCCCTGAAAACAGTTCTGTATTCTCATTCAGTGAAGGGACTGGATTGCTTTCATAGCTTTCTTGCTGCCCTTCTTGTTCACCTTGTGCTGAAGGAGAAACCAGAGTAACTTTTTTACAAAGTAAAATCAAGCTCTTATACCCCTTCTCCTAAAATGTTCCATTCCCCCATATATAATTGATTCCTATATAATTTATTCCTGATACCTCTTCTAAAATTCTGACTAATTCTCTGATGGAGAGATTTTACCCCATTTTATATCTATGGAAACAGACTAAAGAGGGAAAGCAAATTGATCAGTAGCTCATAAATGGCCAGTCTGTATTGGGAACACATGTTTGGTGGATTATAAAACCTAATTTCTATGTTCTCCATATTTTTGACCCCAAATTTCCCTTACTGGGTGCAAGAGAAATTAATTTTTTAAAAAATTAGTTTTGGGTCATCACTCATCTATTTGGTGACTTAGTATGATCTTTGTTCCTCCCCCCCCCCCCCCCCCCCAGGGATTATAAAGTCTATTGCTTATCTCTCAGGAAGCGGACTCTCAGTGGATGGACTAGAACGGTCAGTTATCTGTGGTATATCTTCAAAGCACAAGTTTTATGCCTGGGATGTGCAAAAGGTGAGCCTGGCCTGAGAGCAATCATAATGCTTACCTGTGTCCTTTTTTTAACACACATAAATCAGAATACTAACAGGAAAGTGATACTCAGTGTTGGTGACAGCAACACATTTTAAAATCTGGGCTTCTAGTTTGTAATCTATGACCTTTTCAGTTAAATCATAAACACAAAGAGGCTTTATATTTAAATAATGTGCTTCTACATGTAAATGTATACCAAGACTTACCTTGTAATGGAAGCTTGCATATTTCACAGTCACTGCAATCTGCTGGCACTGTGCATCTTTTTTACCTCTTCTACACTCTTTTTGACAATTACCATTTGTTATATTGGCTTTTTCAGAAAGTGATTTCCAAGTCAGATGACCTTCAAGGCACACATAGGATGCTTGCACATTGGTACTAGCACAGGTAGTGCATGGAAAAGAGTAGGGAGCTGGAAAATCCCAAAGAGTTTCTCAAATTAGTGTATTTTCTTGGCTTTCCCTGGTTGGATTCCTTTGTCTCTCCCTATAAAAAGGGATGATGAGCTCTCTCATTCAGAGTTTTTTGAAGTATGATCACTATCCTTTGATAGGAGCTGACAGGGAAATTTAGATAAAAATCTAGAAGGGTTCTCTCTGGGATAACCTGCTCTAGGGAATAACCTGCTTCAGTCACTAGGTCCCTGAGGACACTCAAGTAGCCCAATGGATGGGTCCATATGGAAAAGAAATCAGGTCTCCTGCTAAGATCTAACACCAACATGTCATTTGTATGAGTGAGCCATCTTGGAAACATTATTCAAGCCCAGACAACACCTTCACTACTACCTCATGAGTGAGTTCAAGCTTGAATAACTCAGTTAACCCACTCTTGAATTCTGGCCCACCCAACTGTGACTTAATAAATGCTTATTGCTTTAAGTTGCTGTCTTTCAAGGTAATTTGTTATGCAGCAATAGAAAATTAATATAGATTCAAATATATGGAAGCAAGGGATGCTGCTTAAAAGCCAAAAGCTGGGAAGACTCTGAGGAAACTATTGGGCCTTGATGAGACTCTTTCTGGAAATCCAATGGTCTGTCATGAGACTGTCGGTGAGGGCTTAAAGGAAAGTGAAAGTTTTATTGGGAATTAGAGGAAAGGGTATTCTTGTTTTATAATAGCAGAAAGGTCACCAAAATTGTTAACTGTGTTAAAATGAAAATTAGAAAATAAACCTAAAGAATTAAGTGATCTTGCTAGAGAAACTTCCAGGCCAATTGCTGACTACTGGCTTGTTGTTGCTAACAGTAAAATTCAAGAGGAGCAAGGAATTTCTCATTTAAAAAAATTCCCAGTCTATCCAGAAAGCTGTTGTTTAAGTGCAGTTCAACTGTTGCCTATTCATAGTGAACCTTGTATAGCGTTTCTGAGGAGCAGTTGGTGGGTTTGAACTGCTGACAATGTGGTTTGCAGTACAGTGATGGTCCTGCAGCACCACACCAGGAGGCAGAAGGCAAATGATGCTAATTTAAGAAATACAGTCAAAGCAAAGATCAGTAACAGGGACTTGTTCCTAAGCCTTACTAGTATCATGGTATAAAGATAAAACCAAAGGAGTTATCTGTAAGATTCTTTGTTAGCCCTCATACATATCTAAGGAGATTCCTTAGAGAACTGTTTAGCCAAACAATAGGACTTTAAACAGGGCCCAGATACAATGAATCAGAATCTGCATTAAATAAGATCCCCAGGTGATTCTTAACAGGGCTCCAAATGGGGCCAGTTTGAAGTCCTTCTTTTACAAGAGGCTTAAGGAATTGTCCTCAGCAGCCCCAGCAGAGACACAAAAGATTTATCTCTGAGAATTGTAGTAGAAGCCTTAGGAAGAAATATGTGCTGCGTACTGAGAATTTCTGCCAATAGCCAGCACCAACTTTCCAGACATGAGAATTGAGGAGTAGCTATTGTCTAATGGTGTGAACTCCAGTAAAATTCTTAGGTTCACAATTACTTTTTAAACTTTTTATTGTGAACTGAGTGAAGGTTTACAGAACAGATCATCAATCCCACATTGAACAAATCATACACTTTGTGTCATTACAATGCTTTCAACCCCTCTATGTACCATCAGTTAATAGTTTTTCTTAATCGCTTTCGCTTTAACTCTTGCATTCTTCCCTTTGTCTTCCACTACCTTCATCTTTTCCGTGCCAACCTCCCTCTTGCTGTATATTGTTTTCCTCGTCACTCAAGTTAACATGTGTTGACCCTGTTGTTGTTAAGTACCTTTGAGTCGGTTCCGACCCATAGCGACCCTGTACAGGGTTTCCGAGGGTGTAAATCCTTACGGGAGTAGAAAGCCTCATCTTTCTCCTGCGGAGCGACTGGTAGTTTCGAACCGCTGACCTTACGGTTCGCATTCCGATTTGTAACCACTACGCTACCAGAGCTCCTTGTGTTGACCCTATACCCCATGAATAATTTTCCCTTACCTCCCACCCCTGGTAACCATCATAGAAAGTTTCTTTTAGCAAGAAAACCTTTCCTTAACTTTTTACAATAGTGATTTCATACAATATTTGTCCTTTTGTGATTAATTTCACTCAGTATAATGTCCTCCAGGCTTATCCATGATATGAGGTGTTTCATAGATTGATCATTATTCTTCAGTGTTGTGTAGTATCCCATTGTGTGCATGTACCAAGGTTTGTATCTATTCTGTTACCCTCTGTTTTTTGATTGGTGCACTTAATTCATTTACATTCAGTGTAATTATTGTTAAGTATGAGTTAACTGTGGACTCCTGGGGGGTGGCACTGTAGGATTAGCACTGGACTGTAAACTACAAGTTTGACAGTTCAAACCCACCAGCTGCTACTTGGAAACCCTATATAGGGTTGTTATGAATCCGAATCGACTCAATGACATTTAATAACAACAGTGAATAGACTGCTGTCATTTT